AATCTGAGGTAGTTGTTTATCCATATGGAAAAAAATGAACCTGGATGATGCTTATCTTACATGATAGGTTGAAATTACAGTCAGATATTGAAAAGAAATTGTAGAATATTTTCAAGAACTTGGGATAGGCAGTTATTTCTAGAATGAAACATGGAAAACAACCATAAGAGAAATAAATCTGATTAAAATTAAGAATTTCTGTTCCTCACAGATCTCCTAAAAAGTGAAAAGGTGATTGTATTTGTAATATGTATCTTACTGAGAATGCAAATCCAGAATATTGGAAGAATGCCTGCAGTTCAGGAGCAGAAACGACTGTCTCAGTAACGACAAAGACTTGAACAGATGCTTTAAAAACTAGATCTCAAAATGGACACTGAGCCTATGAAAGGGTGCCCAACATTCTAAGTGATCAAATGCAAATTCAGACTAAAAGAAGATATCACTACATATGTGCCAGAATGGTTAAAATGAAAAAGAGTGACAATATCTGGTTTGGGCAAGTATTTGAAGCGATTGGAACTCTTACATTGCTAGTGGAAGTGTAAATTGGTACAAGTTAATAAATGTGTTTGGAACTACCTACTAAAGCTAAACATACGTAACCTCTGACACAATATTTCCACTTCTGAGTACGTACCAAATAGAAATGAATGCTTATGTCCACCAAAAGACATATCCAAGAATGTTCATTGTAGCTTTATTTATATATGCCAAAAACATTTAGGAAACAACCCACCCCATAGAATGAGCAAGTCATACAGTGTAATAATCGACAGCAATTTATTTTTTTAAAAAGACTACTGAGACATACAACAATATGGATGAGTATCACAGAATGATATTTAGTGAAAATCATATGTGAAAGAGTACATTGTATTTATGTGACTCCATGTATAAGAAGTTCAGAACAGGCTAAGGCAATCTGTAGGGATACAAGTCAGGACGGTGCTTATCCTCAGGAGAGGTGCACCAAGTGGGGAAGTGCACAGGGAACCCTCTAAGGTTCTGGACGTGATTGGGGTGCTGATCACGTGGGTGTATACATATGTAAAGGTTCAGGATACACAGTTAAAGATTTGTGGACTTGAGTTTGTAAGTCCTACATCACTTTGAACAAATAACCTATGAGAAGAATTGCCATTTGTTCTTTCTATTCACCAGAAAAGCTACTGAGTTGTCATTGCTTTATGTGTCAGTTCCTTCACTGCTTTTTGAATAACACTTGTACAGTTCTGCATCTCTCACCACTGCACACTCATTGACCCGGGCTCCCCACCCAGCAATGGCTCTGGGTTCCAATTGGAGGCGAACAGCCTTTGATCGACCCTAAACACAGATGTAGAGAGTAGACTTTTCACGAAGCCTGGTTCTCAGGTTGTCTTCTTTTTGACTCTCTTCTCCGTACGGGGGTTAATTGGTAAATCCTCTGAAATGTTGTGTCAGTTTTTCGGAAGGTGCACATGTGCGTTTTTCTCCCGTATGCTTTCTCCCCACAAAGAATTTGAAGTTGCTTTTCCTCTTCCCTTTATTTTTGGGTGGTTCCTCAATAAATTCTCTTAGTTTTATTAAGCTTAAGGCTTAATGCTTAGAAAATGTGTAGAGATTTATTTTAAATATTTTAAAAGATTAAATCGTGAAATGCTGCCTTCATAACTGGATTGCCAAAGAAGACACTTTGATGTATTCGGTGTCTGGATGAGAAGTGAGTGTAATTGCTTTTGGACCTGAGTAAAAGCCTTTAGAATGTGAGGAGTAGAAGCTTAATGCATTTGTTAGAAAAGAAGGATTAAAAATAAATGTGAATGAAATGTGTTTTTGACTCAGGAAACTTTGTCGAGATCGATTAAGCTAACAAAGTATAAGCAAAGGAATGGTGAAGAGAAAATAATGAAACAGAAAAAAATTGAGTTGGTTAACAAGTCAGAAATTGGTTCATTACAAAGACCAGTAAGCGAGACAAATGTTTGGCAAGTGTGATGAAGAAAAATGCAGAGCACAAATAGTGTCAGGAATGAAGAAGCAGCGTAATTGCAGATATAAATTAGTATCACAGATTTTAAAACCTGTTAAAAAAAGGACAATTTGATGGAAACTAAAAATGACCAAAATTGATCCAGGAAGAAGTAAAAGCCTGACGTGGACCAATAACTGTAAAAGAAATTGAAGTGCTACTCAGGGATTTTCTTCTGAAAAAAGATGCTAAGGTCAAGCAAGTTCTAACAGCCTTTTGATGAGCATTAACTCCCATCTTATTTTAGATCCTAGAAAAATTTGGGAAGATTTCCATGTCGTTTTGTAAGATTATTATAAGGTTAATATAATCAGGTAAAGCTTGCACAGGAAAAAATTCATAGACTGGTCTTAATATGTACTTAGATGCCAAAGCTTTCATTAAGTGACTTAATATTTTGAATGTAGCAGAGCAATAAGAGTTAAGGTCAAGAAGAGCTTATCAAGGAACATAAGGATAATTCAGTGTTAGACAAATCTTTCAATGTAATTCTCTGTTATAACAGGTAGAAGGAGCTATGCTCCATGGAATCTCTCAGATGCTGACAGAGCATTCTATAAAATTCAACACCTACTTGTTAGAATGCCCTCAGAAAACCAGGAATACGAGGGAAGTTACCTAATTTGGTAAATATTCTCTCTCAGAAAATTAGAGCAAACATAGTTCATGTTAAAACATGAGACATGTTCTTTTTAAATTCAAGAATAAGAGAAAAATGTCCGCTATCACTACTATTAATTGCAATATGAGGATAAAGGAAACGGGTATTAATATTAGAATGCAGGAGTCAAAGCTGTGTGCATCTGCTGTGGTTGTTCAGCAGTTCAAAAGCATCAACTTGAGCAAGACGGGAACGAGATGGGAGATCTCCCTTCTCACAGCAGGTCTGTCTCCCAAGCTCGGACTGTAGTTCCAGCAGCCTTTTTTTATTTTGAGATTTCCAAAAATCTCCAAAGGAGATTCTGTATTTCAAAATGCATTTAACTGTGCAACTGAGGAGCTTGCACCTAATCGTCAGTTGGAAATTATTACTTTGTAGTTCTATTTATTATGTAATGACGTACTAAAAAGACAAATATCAGGAGAGGCATCTAATGGAATTCTATAAATGCCTTCCAAGCAATGAAATGCTCAATTTAAATTCATATGCTTATAGATTGACAACAGTATTTCATAGTACTTATGTGCGTTTTTGAAGATGAAATAGGTAAAATCTCATTACAGATCATAATCAACAATGAACATTTTCAGTTGATTTTGATGATAGGGAACACTCACTTTGAACCTCAGTTGAGGAAAATGTTTGCCTTTCCCAAACAATTCCGTTTTTCTAATTAGTAGACATGCGTGAAAAAAAAGTACAAAATAATTATCATATTTTGAGTTTTGTCAAAATTTTTCTTTCTTTCTTGTTATGTAAGTACCTGCATGATATCCTCAAGTATGCCTCTTGGTCTACAGAGCCTAAAATATTTAGTATCTGGCCTTTAGCAGAAAAAAGTTGCTGATCCTTGGTTTAGCTAATGTCTTTTTTTTTTTTTTTTAAGATTGGCACCTGAGCTAACATCTGTTGCCAGTCTTTTTTTTTTTTTTAAAGACTGGCACCTGGGCTAACAACCTGCTAATCTTTTTTTTTTTTTGCTTTTTTTCTCCCCCAATCTCCCCAGTAGATAGCTGTATACTTTTAGTTGTGGGTCCTTCCAGTTGTGGCATGCAGGACACCGCCCCAACATGGCCTGATGAGTGGTGCCATGTCCGCGCCCAGGATCCGAACCGGCGAAACCCTGGGCCGCAGAAGCAGAGTGCACGAACTTAACCACTTGGCCATGGGGCCGGCCCCTAATGTCTTTTTTAAAAATTTAATTTTTATTGTTTGACTCTCCATTCCTACTGTTCTTTTTCTCTTCTCCCGCTTTTTTCCTCGTCATGCCTTCTCTATATTACACATGTGTAGCAATAGTGCATTTATAAGTAGTGCCGCTCACCGTGTCTTGATGTAGTATCTTTTTGCATGAGTTCTTTTATACACACTTGCTCAGCCACCTGTATAAACTGAGGGAGACGTAGTGGCATTTGGAAAGGAGCAGGTGGTTAGATAGAGAAAGAGTCATGATCAAGGATTTGGAACAAACTGAAAATGTGTATTAGGTAGAAAGATGAGAACACATCCTAGGTGCTCAGAATGTTTATTGATCAACTAAAATGCACACTGTAGCTCTATTAACAAAGATCCTGCAATGAGCATAGGCAGAGTGAGCCAGGCCCAGCTGGATGAAAACTGGCTGTGATGGTTCTGTTTTCGTGAACTCTGGCTTTCTTGTCTCTTTTGCATGGTGCCCTGCCAAGTCAGCACCTTCATTTACTACACGTTGGTTCGTAGAGTCATTGTTGGCTTCTGTGGAGCTGGGCTTATGAGAATTACTCTCATGTAGTAGCAAATGCTACTAATGCTACTACGTATGCTACAAGATTGCTTCTGTTTGAGGAATCTTGGGGAAAAGGAAGTTTTTCTTGTCCTTTTCCCACTTAAGAGAACATACTGTAGGTACAAATCTGGTGATAAATCCGCATCCATGCGGTTGTATAGAAAAACAAACTCTGTTTTACTTTTGTTAGTTTCTTAAGCTTGAATTTCCTTATGCACTTTCAATAAAGTTATTTTAAATCCTTTTTTAATATCTAGTTATAGCATAAAGGTGATTCAGCATTTACTCAGTTTATTGGAGATTATGTTGTAGCTGGTGTGTACATAGCAGTCTTTTTCTTGGTGCATTTCGAAGTCTTGTTAATCCTCTTTCTCTTTTCTTGAGAGAAGCTATGTAAAATATACTTATCGAACTACTAAATCTAAGTATGATTGAAGGGAGGAATTATTTCTTATTTTGCCTTTAGGTTTATTTTCTAATTTAATATTTTTAATGACTTAAAGGTGATTTCTTTTTAAATGCAGTCATTTTTATTTGTTCCTGTTCCTCATGTCTTTCAGCTCCTGGTGATAATTCATTCTTGCTGCTGCGAGCAGAGTTACACTTAACCCTGAAGAACCATGAGCAGGCTCTGAGGGATGCCAGTGCGGTTTGTCAGAATGAGCCTCTCCTGACTAAGGTACTGGTTGGCTTGGACATAATAAATATACGTTTATGAGATTTTTCTTAAGAATAAAGTATGTTTCTCACGAATTACAGTAGTCTAAATATAGTAAACCACTTCTTAATAAACCTGCTTGATTTAAAAGACTGAGTCTCCAACTGGATCTAGATAAGAAACACAAATTTAAATTAATCTTTTTAGATATTTAACTGAATAATATGCCTTCTATACTGAGCAAGTATATAAAAATAGAATTTTATAAATTTTTGAGCAAAGAGGAAATATTTAAAATTAGTTTAAATAGGAAGATCACATCATGATTGTGATGAACAGTTAGGCCCTCATATGCATGGAGCATGTAGATGCTGTTAGTAAAAGGGTGAATGTTTTGTATGTATTTTGGAATAATTTTAATCTCTGTGTTTTGGTTGGAAAGGTCTAATATTTCTTCCTCTAATGGTGCAAAATAGCTTAACTCACTTAATAACGATAGCTTATGTTGTCCTTGAAGAAAGCCAAAGAATAAAAGTTGTAGTTTTTTTCACAGATTTTGATTATAAACCTTTATAAAATATTTTAAAGTTTTAACAAACTTGTGATGAAATTAACACCTATAGCATACGCTATTAGCTAATAATTGAAAATATTTTTTTTGTGCTATGTTACTTTTTATCATCTTTGTTTTAGAGACGTAGAAGAGACACTAACCCAGGTTAATAGACAGAGTGGATGTAGCCAGCTCTTTCTTTCTCCCTCCCTTCTGTCCATGCAGCCATCTATCCAAGCATCCATCTTTTAAAACAGAATGTCTTCAGATCAGATTGAGTGTCACATCAGATTTGGGAATTAGCTGAAGGATGGGAAGGAAATGTTTGTTGGACCAAGCCCAGAAGTCTATTTTCTTGTTTGTATGCTTCACTAAAAAGGTTTTCTACTCCCTTTTCTGATGCCTTTTCTCCTCTCCCTCTATCTGTTACTCTTCTTAGATAATTCATGTCAGTAATGATTGAGCCTTAATTCTTGTGAATTATAAATCTAGTATTTCTGACTGACAATAGACCTACGTTGCCCTCTGAAGCTAGATTATTCTCCATAGTATTGGTCTTTGAACTAAAAAGTCTGGCAGTGTCTCTCTGATCAAAGACAGACTTAATTACTACAGAGTTACATGGCTAATTGTAACTGTAAGAAAGGCAGAAAATGAACCTTTAGCCTTTGGGATTTTGGTCATTATCTTCAGGGTTTATTGCGAATCTGTGGACCTCAATTCTTGGCAAATGTCTAGTGAAGAACAGCTTCAGCAGAAATTTACACTGTCAAATCACTTTAAGATAGTAAGGGATAGAAATTTATCTCCAAGTTAATGTTTGTAACTAAAGGATTAGAGAAGAAGTGACATTGGAAGGTAAGTTGAAAGAACTGAGGGGAGGACGAAGTTGGCCAACTATGATTAGGATGAGATGGAAGCACTTGTGGAACCAACCTCAAAGTCCCAGTTGGGGCCTGATGTAGCAGTGTATTTTTCCCAAGCAAAACTCTTAGCAAGCAGCCAATTGTGGCTGATAATTAGTTCAGAGCCTTTGGTCCAATGGAGACAAGCCACTGCTAGAAAATGTTCGCCCATATGCAAAAACAGAATTAGGTACATGCTAAGTTTGGTCTTAACCCAAACAGGGAGCCTGTAAGATTTAAAACTGTTCAAAAGTTAGTGAATTTAATTAATAAGCATTTATTGATACACTCAAATTTTTAAATATTCTGTGTACGTGTGTGGAAAACTTCAAACTGTGAAGTGCTTTGTATATATAACACTATTATTTTCTTAGAACTTTTGATAAGCTGACAGAGAAGATTTAGAAGCTTCTGAAACTTGAGAGTCAGGGCCCCTTACTTACATAATGTCTAGGAAGGGGCCTGGTAGCCTTGTCTTCTTAGTAATTTTGTACTTTTTCTTAAAAGGATATTACAAATTGTGTAAGCTTCAGGCTGCACAAAAGCTGGGTCCACTCTTTTAAGGATAATAAGAAAATTAGTAAAACTTCAGATGTTCACCAAAATTAAGAGAGTTCCATAGACGAATCGCTGATGGCCTGAAGTGCATGTGACGCTTTTCAGGGAGCTCAAGGATGATACTGATGAGCTGTCGTCCAAAATGTTTGTCGTGTCTTTTGAAATGGCTGTTCTCCCAGAGAGCTGGAAGATAAGTGATGCAATGAATAGACAGTTAGTAAATGTTAGGAGAGGTGTTGGTGCTGGAGATAGCAACTGGCCACCACCAGCACATTCATGGTGTTTAAAACTATAGAGAAAGAAGTCAGGTGAGAGAGGGCCCTGAAAATAGGCCTTTGTGTTTGATCTTTCATGGTTGCCAGTGCCTCAGAACATTTTTAATAACAGAGATAATGACAGGAGACATGAGGGATTAAGAGATAACAACTGGAGTGCATGCGTTATTGTTTTCCCTACTAAGGGACTCAATTAAAATGAAAGCAAAATTATAAAATTATAAAGCTATATAAATTAAAAAGTTATAACAGTTATACAAACTGGAATAAAAGAACAGACATTGTAAAGCATCCAAAACAGACAGAAGCTAGAAAAGAGTACACATGAAAGGGCTAAGAATTGTGTTTGTAGCTTTTTGGCCCAAGGGTTCTGTCCAGTTGCAACTACAGAAAACAGTAGTGGGAAAAACCCTTTAGCATTACTAGGTAAAGGTATCAGAGTTCCAGCTTCAGGGACAGTAAAGCATCTGGAAATATGAAGGGGAAAACTTGGCAGCACAGAAATTGCTGGAGTGACACAAATTCAAAACAAAAATTGTCTAAATCCCTGACGCACAGCTGAAGTGTGCATTTGTGTGTGAGATGCACAAGGTCCGCCAAAAAAACTGGCAGAGACCAGAGAGAAATCTGCCGTTAAAAGAGAGTGACAAGGACCCATATCTCTTGAGTTTGTGCTTTTCTTGATTGAGTGCATGCATTCCACAGCAGTGTGTAGCTCAGGCAGTGGAAAGCGTGACACGTCAGAGTACAGTGCCCAAAGGCGACAGAACAACTGAAAGGGAAAATCCCTAACAGCAAGGAAATCGAGGAATGGATAAGTGCGAGCTCCAGCCAAATCCTGGCCTATTGCCACACTTCACAGGTGTAGGGTAGAACCACAGGGCTTACAAAGCAGGAGTAGAAAGACATAAAAAGAGACCAGAGATATAAGCAGCTCCATACCATGGGAGAGACAAGGGTTGCAATTGAATGCAGGAAAGTTAACTGCCTACTAACACAATCTTTAGCCAATAATCTTTAGAAGAATACAGTAAAATGCAGAGTTGATACCCAGTGTATTATGTACAATGTCCAGTGTTAACCAAAAATACTAGACATGCAGAGAAACAGGAAATTGTTGAGCTATACTCAGGATAAAAGACATTCAATAAAAATTGTCTCTGAGTGGGCTGAGGTTGCAGTTAGCAGAAAAAGACTTTGAAGCAGCTGGTGTAAATAAGTTCAAAGAATTAAGTGAAATTATGTCCAAAGAATTGAAGGCAAATACGGTATCTTTGAATTAACAGGCACTCTCAACAGGACAGTTGAACCTCAACAGGCAGTTGAAAAAGTGGAAATTCTAAAGCTGAAAACTACAAATGCTGAACTAAAAAAAAGGCGAGATAAGCTCAATAGCACATTATATGTGGCAAAAGAATCAGTGAAATTGAGGATAGATTAATAGAAATTACCCAATCCAAAGAACCAGAAACAAGAAAGAATGAGGAAAAATGGAAAGAATCTTAGAAACCTGTGGGGCAATATAAAGTGGTAGAATACATGTGTAATTGAAATCCTGAAAGGAGAAGATAGAGAAAATGGCAGAAAAGAATTGAAGGAATAATGGCTAAAAACTTTCCAAATTTAGTGGAAAATATTAATTTCATATCTAAGAAGCTTAATAAGCCCCATGCAAAATAAACACAAAGAAATATACTTAGACACAGAATAATCAGACTACTGCTCTGTAAGCCAAAGATAACAGGACAGTCTTAAAGGCAGCAAGAGGAAAATGGCATGACATGAGAAAATTACATAGAGGAAAGTAAGATTTATGATTAACATATCATCAGAAATTGTGGAAGCCAGTTAACATTGGAACAACGTGTTCAAAGTGCCAAAAGAAAAAAGTCTATCAACCAAGAAGTCTATATCCGGTGAAAATATCCATTAAAGGTGAAGCTGGAGTAAAGACATCTTCAGGAAGCAGAATCAGAGGTTGTTGCTAGCAGTCGTGTACTACAGGATGCTAAAGGCATTTTTCTAGTCTGAAGGAAAATGGCAGTAAATGGTAACTCAGATATACAGAAAGATAGGAAGAGCGCCACAAATAGTATAAAAGTGGCTAACAGAAGATTACGTATTTTTTTCTGCTTACTTTTTTTTTTTTAAAGTTATGCCTTTTGGTGAGGAAGATTGATCCTGAGCTAACATCTGTTGTCAGTCTTCATCTTTTTTTTTTGCTTCTCCCCAAAGCCCCAGTACGTAATTGTTTATCCTAGCTGTACGTCCTTCTAGTTCTTCTCTGTGGGACACCACCTCAGCATGGCTTGAAGTGCAGTGGTAGGTCCGTGCCCAGGATCTGAACTGCCGAACGCCAGGCCGGTGAAGTGGAGTATGCGAACTTAACCACTATGCCACTAGGCCAGCCCCTTTACTTACTTTTTAAAAGACCCGTCAGTGGTTAAAACAAAAATTATAATACTGTATCGATGGGTTTATAACGTGTGGATATAATATGGATGACAACAATTTCAGTAAGGATGTGAAGAGGTAAATGGAAATATACTGCTGAAGAATTTTTACTATTTTACCTGAAGTGATTCAGTTTAAATCTAAGTAGAATTGGATAACTTTGAGGCATATTGTAATCCCCCAAATATTCACTACGAATAGTTTAAGATATATATCTAGAAAGCCAATAGAGGAAATATAACATAATAATAAAAAGTATTTGATTAACACAAAAGA